CGTGCGGCCAGTGCAGCTCACACAAGCAAACAGCTGATAAACTAGCCGCACGGAGGAAATGTGTATGTGTGACTGTCTGCCTGTGACTGTGTGTGACTGTCTGCCTGTAACTGAGTGTGTGACTGTCTGTCTGTAACTGAGTGTGTGACTGCCTGTAAATGTGTGTGTGGGGCTGCAGGGATTTTGTAGAAGGGGGCGGGGTTTTGTATTGGGACAGGAGTCTTTATAAGGGGGGATAAGCAGGGGATTTGTGGAAGGGGGTTGCGGGGGTTTTGTAGACGGGGCAGTACAGGATTTGTAGAAGGGGCAGGACAGAGGTTTTGTAGGAGGGGCGGGCAGGACAAGGGTTTTGTAGGAGGGGCTGACAGCGGTTTTGCAAAGTTTACAAATTGTAAAAAGAAAAATATCTTTAACATTTTTACAGGTTTTGGGTGGGGGTTTAGCACAGGATCCGCCCCGGGTGCCAAATGCTCTAGGTATGCCTCTGCGACCGGCTACTCTGGCCCTTCCTATTCCACAATCTCACACACTTCGGATTCCCATCCAAATTTATACTTTACCTAGAGGCGACACCATCTCCAGCGGGATGAGATAGGGATGCCCACTGTCCCCTCTTTTATTTGCTCTTTCCCTGGAACCCTTCCTACTACACTACATATACACAGCCCACCTAGCCCAAATACAGATGTGGCACTTGCCACCCTCAAAGAAAAGATGGGTGGACATTGAACACTATCTTCGGATGGCACCACCCCTCTCTATATATGTGGCTACCAAGGCAGACACAACCCCTACCCCCACGACAACACCCACAATTACTCACGTCCTCGATTTGTGGGACAAACTGCACATCAAATTCGACCTATACGCATATCTATTGTCATGATCTTGAGCAGGTCCGAGAGGAGACTTATGCCAGGGTTGACTTCAGGTACTTTATTTGTGCTCTTAGACATAGTATGAACAGGATATCCTATAATAGAAATCATAGGAAAGAGAGAGAGAAAACAGAAATAAAGGGGCTTAGGCAATATGCCCTAAATAGATTATAAAACAGGAATGAAAGTAAATAATAAGAAAACCTATAGATAAAATTATAGATTAAAATAGAAGGACAAATAAAACAGAACAGAACAAATAGGTTGCAGGATAACAGGAAAAGGAGAAATGTAGTTAATCAGTCCCCAATTAGAAGGAGTATTTTTCAAGCAGGAAAATAACACCATATAATATTACTTTGAGACAGAGTCCAAATTGGTGTTATGCAGGTAGGTACGGAACAGACAATTTGTATGGATCAGGCTGGTAGAAATCAGGTGGGTAAGATAAAGCGTAGTTCAGGCTTGTATTGAGCAGGGTTGGAAGTAAGCAGGATTGAGGAATAGTTCAGGCTGGTATTGAGCAGGGTTGAAAGTACGTAGGATTGAGGTTCAGGCTGGTATTGTGCAGGTTTGGAAGCAAGCAGGATTGAGGAGTAATTCAGGCTGGTATTGTGCAGCTTTGGAAGCAAGCAGGATTGAGGAGTAATTCAGGCTGGTATTGTGCAGGTTTGGAAGTAAGCAGGATT